GAAGATTACAATCTTAGTAATGACTTCATCTATTTCAAGAAGTGGATTTATATGCCTGACAATGTTATACTCTGGATGCATATACTTTAAGAAAGATATGACATTCTAATATCTAGATATCTAGGGCAAGAGAAGACTCTAGAATGGATTTCAAAGACATGATTTTGGACAAGTTTGGATCGTGATGTTTGAACATTTGTATACTTCTATGAGTCATATCAACATAATAAAGCATACAACGTAGTGTTTCTTAGACTATTGCAGCCTATTCCATTACCTATTGCACATTAGGAGTAGGTGACTATGGATCTCATTATGTGTTTGCTACAAATACCTCATAATTACACCATGGTTGCCATCTTTGTGAATCAACTCTCAAAGTAACTTTACTTCGCCATGGTGCCCTTGGATATTAATGCCTAGATGCTTGCATAAGTCTTTTTGATATTATCTTTTGTCACCATGAATTACCTTATGTCATTATTTCAGATCGGAATCTACACTTCATTGGAGGTTTTTGGCAAGCCTTGTTCAAGGTACTAAGTATATGATTTGTCATATTTATAGTCTTTTATCTCCAAATAGATAGACAAAGAAAGTATGCAAATTGGATCTTTGAAGATATGTTGCAAATATTTGTGGTAGCTCATCATAATGATTAGAATGAATATTTAACACCTTGGGAGTTTGGTTACAATGATATTATTCAAGCAAGTATTGATCATTCACCATTTTCTTTACCACCAGTCAGCATCCAATTATGCCAATAACTCTTCATCATTCTATTGACATCAACAACCTGACAACGGAGGAGTTTATACAATGGCTTACAATGGCCTTACAAGAAGTATGGCATCACCTATTTATTATACAAAATGGCTAGAAGTACTATACGGATAACCATCGGCAATATAAGACCTTTCGAAAGTGTTATTCTTCAATGCCAACTTGCTACTTCCTACATCAATCTAAATCCGTAAATTGGTACCTAAGTGGCTTAGATCTTTCCACATTTTTGCAGTAATTTGTAATGTTTTAAACTACCTCAAGCTTCTGCCACATTTTTACAATGATTTGTGATGTTGCAAACTATCTCAATCTTTTGCCATATATTTGAGTCCATCTACTCTTCTATGTTTTGCAACTGAAAGAATTTCATACCAAGCCAAAGTGCTTTCTGGATTGACACTAACCACCACCACCACCAATTTAGTTGATGAATAATAAAAATATGATGTAGACAATATTTTACAACATTACTATCTTTGTTATGGTAGTAGACGTCCACAACTTTAAAACAAAGTTTTTTGAAAAGGTTATCCCATCCATAATATAACGTAGAAACTTGCACAAAATCTCATCCATTGCCAAGAGATAATTTAGAAATGCCATTGAAAGTGAAACAAGGATGTTCCGCATTAGTGGAAGAGAATTAATTGTAATAGGATATAAATAAAATATTTATATTGTTGACATATAGAGATAGATAGTTGGAACCATGTTTGAGAAGTTATAGAAGTTTCTAGAATTTGGACTAGGTTAATAGATTATATAGGATCTATCATAGAATATTCTAAAAATAGCTTAAGATAATTATCTAGGTAGGATCTACCATAGAACCTTCTAGAAAGAATTTAGGGTGATTATTTAAGTAAGATCCATCATCTAGAAACATTCTAGAAAGTCTAGGGTAGTAGAACAAAGTATAAATAGGACTAACTAGGGCCTTTTGGATATTTGGTCAAGCATGGCTTCAAATCTTTTCTCTTAGTAAAATTTGGTTTTGCAACTTTCTGTTTAATTTTGTTTTGTTTTATTTCTGTTTTCTCAATTTTATTATTCGTGTCTTATTTTGTTTAGTTTTATTTAGTTTTATTCAAGTCCAATTTGTCCTACTTTTTCATGATGTTTTATGTTGTTGTGGATTAGAAGGATCTTAGACTCTTGAGATAGATCAGTCATGTTTTACACATGGTGCCTATTGTAGGTGGACCTCTTTGTTTTTTTCAATGATCACACTCCTAATCTTGATTGTAAGTTTTTTTTTTTGGACAATTCCTAGATTTGTAGCCTTTTTGAATACAATATAAGCATAAATCTTATTCAAATCAATGCTTTTTTTTTTTTTGTAAGAGGTTTGAATTATATTGCATCAATTTACATATCTTGAATTCTAAAATTTGGAAGTAAAGCATTTATTGAAAGAATAGAGTACAAATTTTTAATGTATTTCTTTGTCAAAATCTATGAGCATTGATCTTGATGGCATTGAAATAATCAATTATTATACTTTACAACCTCATTGATAGCTTCATTGAGTATTTGAGGATCAAAGAATGATAATATCTTTTATATCATCACTTAAATCTCCAATAAAATTGGTCCATACGAGGTTGTTCATTTCAATTGATGTCAGAAGCCAATTGCTTAAAATCAGATGGATAAACTAATACTTGAGCTTGATGTAATGAACAAATCTTTATTGTTGCCCATTAGGCATTGTCATGTTTTTTAAAAGTCTCTACAAATACTTCTAAAAAAGCTTCAATATTTCTCAAGTTTGAAAATTTCTTCTCAAATAAAGGAGCAAACTGAGATAAGGCTTATCTTGTGAGCAATGTTCTAACTAAACAACTTTCAGTTCTTTTGTTGAATAATATTCAAGTTGTAGAAAAGTAAATAATTAAATTTGAATAATAAATCCTCAAAACTTCAAGCACGTGACATCAAAAAAAATTGAAAGATTAATATGAGGTTCTTTATGTTGTTGAATAAGTAAATTTTCTTGTTGAGGTATAGGTGCCAATGCTTCTTTGGATGTAGAAGCTTAAGAAAGTGGTTGCATCATAGGCTGACTTGTTCTAAGTCTTGCATCACTATAAAATCTTGCAAAAAATTCCTCAATTTTAGTAATTTTACAAGCTAAAGCATTCAATATGTTCATAATAACATCTAACTTAGATTCAAGAGAGTCAATTATACTAACATCTTCATCTCCAGCCATCTTGAAAGAAAAAATAGGAATTCTTTAACAATATCAATTTAGAAGAGGGTACTCCACAACCTCCAAAGTACTTAAATACCTTTAAGAAGAGAAATAATCGACTTTCTATCAAGAAGGATCAAGCTCTAATATTGATAAGTAGGCGGTCTTGATAAATTGTCACAAATACATTATACAAGACACCAAACAAGAAGTTCAATAAAAGAATTTTAAGAGGAAAGTTAATAAAAATTTAATTAAATTAGATGAATACAAGTTCAACACTAGAATGGTGAGTTAAAGCTCTAAGAGATGTATTGTCAAGATTGAAGATCTTGTCAACCTTGACTCTAATATGTACTATGTATTAGGAAGCTTCTCAAGAAGTTCTCATGTTACTTGAAAATGAACCAATTTTAAAAAACTTCTCAAGAAGTTCTTATGTTGCTTGAAGATGAAGCAATCTTAAGAAGCTTCTTAAGAAGTTCTCATGTTGCTTGAAGTTGAAGCAACCTTAGAAAACTTCTTAAAAAGTTTTCATATTGATTGAAGATGAAGCAATCCTATAAAGATTTTCAAATAATTTCTTTAATTCTCCTAGAACTTTTTAAAATTTGTTGAAATATTCTAAAACCATCAAGAAGCATCTAAAATATTTTAAGAATTTTTTAAAATCTTATAAACCTTCTAAAATTTAATAGAATATTCTAAAAATATTTCTAAAATCTTCTTATTAGATGTCCATAACAACTAATAGGAATGAATTTTTTACAATATTTTAGTCAATTTTGAATGGCCTTTAAAATAATATTCAAATCATGAGTTATTATGTAATTATTTCCATGTTCTCGTAAAAAGTGTTTTATTTTGTATACATAGTTATAGTTACTTTTAAGAAAATTTTGTACATAACATCTTAATTGCATTATTATGTTATCATATTTTTTTATTTTTTATATAAAATTTTGATTTAGATAATATTAATATTGGAATCATGTTCAAATTTTATACAATATCTATACCTCTTATTTATGTTTTTTTTTTTCTTTTTTTTTTTTTTCTTTTTTTTCTTCTTCCTCTGTGTGTGTCTTTAGTATACTATGGCTATGACTTTTGTTTTTTCATCTTTCATGCGAAAAGAAATAAAATTAAATCTATCTATCTTAATACAGATTTTTATTCATAAGGTTTTTATCTGTCCAATACAAATTTCTGCCAATCATTCTTAGAAACGACTCTGTTACAATCCTGCCATATAGAAATCCAAGTTACAATTGTTAAAGAATAGTCAATAAATTTATAAGTTCTGAAATTATCATGTCCTCAAACTTTTTCAATTCTAGATTTTGTTTAATTTAACTTTCATTTTTAAGAATTCGATTCTTCAAAAAGAAAAAAAAAGTTTATTCATTATTCTTATTTTTTCCTCTTCCTCCCTTTTCTTTTATCTTTTTCTTTTTAAAATTTTGTGGTGTCAATTAAATATGTTTGTGTGGTTTTTACTTACATTGGTTGCATTGTGACTTGCTCTTATGTTGTATATTATTATACATCAGTAGTTCACTTTACCATTTTAATCCCTGAGCAAAGCCACCAATGCTAGTGCATAGTTTATATTTATATATAATATAAATGATTTTTTAAAAAACTATTTTGAACAAAAATATTCTGTTACATTCTTTTCTGGCTTTACTTGGTGTATACAACTCTTAATGAGCACTAATTAAAATAAGTAAAAAAATTATAATAATATATACAGAATGTACAAGAGTCGAATCTGAATGCTTTGAATTTTTTTATTCAATCAATGCAATCAGAGTCAAATCAGTCAATTTTATCAGTAAAAACCTGCTTATTTCATGACTCCTAGAAGAGCTGGGCACTTGGCACAAGTCGCAAGGAGAACCCAGTTCAGCATGCAGAGAACGAATGAAATAATTCATCGTCGGAATGAATGGATGAAGGTAGGGCTGGGCTGCGGGGCTTGTTGACTTTCAACTAAGCATTTTGAAGAGTTCCTTCCAAGGGATCTTGTTTCTCTCTCTCCCCGTATTGTTAAGCACCGCTTCTCAATTTAATCCGTCGTTGCAACGTGCGTTCACCCCCTTCCTGGCTCCGCCTTCCGACTTCTTATCGCTCGTGTGACGTTGCGGCGTCAACATGGCGTCCCGTTTTTGGACTCAAAACGTAAGTTCTTTCACTTGGGATTCATGGCCGTGTGTGTGTGGGTGTGTGTTTTTTTCTTCTTCTAGGGTTTCTCATTTCAAGGTTATCGTATTTCTTCTTAATTTTGTATTCGTTGTTTACTTCTTTGGCTGCCCTCCCCTGCACTTTTTCTGAACTACTGGAGTTGATTGCAGAGTGATAGCGAAAGTGAGGAGGAGGAGGTGTCTGACTTCGAAGATGATATCCCCATTGGTGGTGGTGAAGGAGGAGGTGCTGCTGCCTCCAAGTACCTCCAGGCTGACTCGGACAGCGATGAATCCGACGATGGGGGTCCTCGGATGGTTCGTTCTGCCAAGGATAAGCGATTTGACGAGCTGGCGCACACCACAGAGCAGATGAAGAATTACATGAATATCAATGATTGGGTACAGCTGCAAGAAAGTTTTGAACGATTGAATAAGCAGTTGGAGAAGGTGAATCGTGTGATGGAGTCTGTGACTGCTCCCCGAATTTACATCAAGGCTCTTGTGATGCTTGAGGATTTTTTGAACACTACTCTATTGAACAAGGATGTCAAGAAGAAGATGAGCCCCAGCAATGCTAAGTCATTGAATTATATGAAGCAGAAGTTGAAGAAGAACAACAAATTGTATGAAGTTGATATTGAGAAATTTAGGGCAAACCCTGAATCAGAGGTGGAGGAAGAGGTAGATGATGACGAGGATGCGGAATCCGCTGATGGATTCAGCGATGATGACATTGTGGAACGCACAATGAACTCGGATGAAGAGGACGAGGACCAGGAGGACGATGGAGGGGGCTGGACGTCTGCTGAAAAGAAGCCGAAAGAGATGTTCCCGAAGCTAGATCCCGGTCAGATTTCATGGGAGATGGTGGACAAGAAGCTGAAGGAAGTCATCTTAGCTCGTGGACGCAAGGGTACAGACCGTGCCGAGCAGGTGGAGCAGTTATCTTACCTTGCTAGGTGTGCGAAGACGCCTGCTCAAAAGCTGGAGGTGATGGTGCACGTAGTGTCCGCGCAGTTTGACGTAAACCCGAGCTTGAACTCACACATGCCAATTGCTGTATGGAAGAAGTGCGTGCAGAACGTGCTGGTGATTTTGGACATTCTTGCCCAATATCCGAACATTGTAATGGACGAGTCTTCGGAACCAGAGGTTGAGAACGAAACAGAGAAAGGAGCAGACCACGATGGACCCATTCACGTGTGGGGTAATGTGGTTGCGCTTTTGGAGCGGATAGATGACGAGTTGTTCAAGAGTCTGCAGTGCATCGACCCACACACGAAGGATTACGTAGAGCGCCTGCGGGACGAGCCCTTGTTTATGACGTTAGCCCAGAACGTGCAGGCATATGTGGAGAGACTAGGTGACATGAAAGCAGCCGCTCGTGTTGCTCTTAGGCGGGTGGAGCATGTGTACTACAAGCCGCAGGAGGTATATGAGGCGATGAGGAAGCTTTCGGAGTTGCAAGGCCGCTCAGGTGGCGCAGCTGTGGAGAGTGCAGCAGATGAGGAGGGTGAGGATAAAGATTCAGAAATCACGGCCAAGGTAGTAACAGAGGCGAAGGGTCCTGTTTCTTTCGTGATAACTCCAGAAATCGTCCCCCGCAGGCCCTCGTTTCCGAGCGTTAACAGGAAGCTGATGGACCAGCTGGTGACGTTGATTTACAAGCACGGAGATGAGCGGACGAAGGCTCGGGCGATGCTGTGCGATATTTATCAGCATGCTATTTCTGACGAGTTTTACACCGCACGGGACCTGCTGTTGATGAGCCATTTGCAGGAGTCGGTGATGAACATGGACATTTCTACGCAAATTCTATTCAACAGAACGATGGCGCAGCTAGGTTTGTGCGCATTTCGCCAGTCGTTGGTGACTGAGGCACATAATTGTCTCTCGGAACTGTATGCCGGGGGTCGGGTGAAGGAGTTGTTGGCGCAGGGGGTGCAGCAGAGTCGTTACCACGAGAAGAATCCTGAGCAGGAGAAGCTGGAGAGGAGGCGTCAGATGCCGTTTCATATGCACATCAATCTTGAGCTCTTGGAGGCAGTGCATCTGATCACTGCAATGTTATTGGAGGTGCCGAACATGGCCTCAAGCATGCATGACATGAAGCGCAAGGTGATCAGCAAGCCATTCCGGAGGCTGCTGGACATCAATGATAAGCAGATGTTCACGGGACCCCCTGAGAACGTGCGTGACCACGTGATGGCAGCAACGCGGTCATTGAGCAAAGGGGAGTGGAGGAAGGCCGTAGCAGTGATCCAGAGCATGGACGTCTGGAAGCTACTGGGACAGCGGGAGGCTATCATGGAGATGTTGCAGTGCAAAATGCAAGAGGAGTCTCTGCGGACGTACATATTCACGTACTCCCCTTACTTCGATTCATTCAGCCTGGACCAGCTGATGGTGATCTTTGGATTGTCGGAGGCTCAGGTGCATAGCATTGTGAGCAAGATGATCATCGCAGAGGAGCTGCACGCGAGCTGGGATCAACCCACGCGGTGCATAGTGACTCATAACGTAGAACCCACTCGGCTGCAGGCATTGGCCTCTCAGTTTGCTGAGAAGTTGCATGTGCTCGTGGAGAGTAATGAGAAGGCTTTTGACGCCCGTACGGGCGGCGGTGGCTTGGAGTCCATGGGACGACGCAACAAGGATGGCCAGGACTACGCCGATGCCGTTGGTGGCAGACGTGGGGGAGATTTTGGAGGAGGCCGTGGTAGTTTTAGGAGCAGCCGAGGCGGTCGACGTGACAATCAAGGCGGCGGTCGGGGCGGTCGAGACAACCAGGGGGGTTACAGCAACTACAATCGTGGTAACCAAGGAGGGCGGAACTACAACACTGGCTACCAGAGCACACGTTACCAGGATGCGTACAGTAGTGTGGGCCGAACACCTTACCAAACAGGGCCAACATCTGGGGGTATCAACCGGGGAGTTCAACAAGCAGACGCTGCTGGTCGTATGGTTAGTTTGTCAAGGGTAGGTGATAGCCGCTTCTGATAGTTGTAATTTTATAGTTGACTGAATACCTTTCATGTACTATCATTAGTTTCAGATGAGTTTGCTACACGCATTAGTGTTTATCCGTTTCTAGATTCGGAGAGCCTGTTAATTTCCACATCATTAGCTTGGCATATATCACATTCTGTGATGTCATTTTTGGTAAGACATTTGTGGAAAAGTCTTTAATGGCAAGCCTGAATTCCATTATCTCTACTCCGTAGCAATGGCTTTACTACCACTACTTTGGGTTTACTGTTATTTTTGTTTCGTATTATTCCGCACGAATTAGAGTCTTCTCTTCCATCCTCGTAAATATGTCATTTGTGTAAATCCTGTTTACCCATTGCAATTGCCATTATTGTAGAAGATCAGAGCAAAATTTTGTTCGTACACATTTTAAATACAAGCTTTAACCTCATTTTTCCCGCTGAGATTTTTAATTTTTATGGGTAAACCCCACAATTCATTATATACCTTACCCAACACCAGTGAAAGAAGAAAAACGAGCTTTATGGTGGATATCAAAAGTGTTCACTCGATCTTTACATTTTCTCACGACCTTTTAAAATTCAATTATGATTCTTTAATTTTTTATTGCATAAGAAACAAACCATCATGTGCTAGAGTAGTTTATTTAGACATATATCATTCCAAATGCATGGGAACAAATTGTTGCGTCCCGAATGCTGCAGGGAAAGGGTTCCTACAACTAATTGACACAGCAGATTACCTACCTTTAAGTGCATTTCATGTGGCCATCGGGGTAATGATCCATGTCACAGGAGGTATGCAGGAGTGCTTGTCAGCTGTTAGTCGATAAATTAGAAAATCTCCTGTGCGCGTTTCATTGCGATTAAATGTTTAAGAAACCATGGTACATATACAACAGATTTAATACTAAAAAGATCCGAGTTTATGCCACTCTCCTCCAAGTGGATTCTGGATTGATTAATTGGTCAAAAAGTGGTAGACACAACAGCATCTATATTAACCATTGTAACGTCGATTTCTCCTGCTGCTGGTTTTCTATCTCGATGACGAACTTTGATGTCTAATGGCCGTGGTCCTAACAATTCATGGTCTATGGGTGCATTATTAGCCTCACTGACCTTCAACACTACATCATAGACGCTGCATGAAATTGGTAATCCCAGGTTCCGCATTTTGATGTAATAAGAAGTGGCAAGTAGCCAATTACCCTCACTCGCCAGTGCTCCAATGACCTACAAAGACAGTGGGATACGATTATTCAGCACCAAGTAGCACGAACTGGTTGCAACAACACGACACTCAAGTGCAAGGGGATGTTCTGGAAAGTTTGAAGCAAAGTTTCATTGTTTGAAAGTAACATATGTTTTACATGTAACACATATTCTTGTGGTACGTTGGAAACTGTCGTGGCCACAGGATACCAGGATGGACAGCAAAAGGAAATTGAAAGCTAGAAGAGCAAGGAGAGGAGTCATTTCAAAGGTTTCCTATGTTGGCAGCTACCACTCAACTATGGAAGATGCGCAACACATTCCAAAATGGAAACCTTAGAAGTGTGCTCGAGTGTCAATTTAAAATGTGTTCCTCCAACCTAAACCCATGTTGAAGCATTAAAGCAAGCTACGCTTAAACTTTCAGCCTTCTCGAAAGTGTAAAGATGGAAGAATGATTACCTGGGAATAAGTGATACTATCTGGTTCAACAGAAGAAGCCTCCATTTGCTGCAACCATTTCACAGCACCCTGTCCATCACTAGCCCGTGCACAAGCTGTTATCATTGCGTTGTGGGTAACAACAGTAGGCTCCATACCGTTGCGTTGCATGTCGTAAAATAGGTCTGCTGCTTCGCTATAATTGCCTGATTTCCCTCGTACTGTAATCATGGTCGTGTAAGCATATTCATTTGGCTTCGTGCCTACCTTAAGCATGTGTTTCCAAACCTGTAAAGAAAAAAAGAAAAAAGAAAACAATCCAGTTTAATTCTTCTGAACACCCTCAGCATCTTGCTATTCAAGGTAGGGTAGATATGAAGCGATTAAGAAGAATACATTTCACCCGTCAGAACACAATGCTCTCAAGTGCTAAGGCTAAGTCTGAAGCTTCAGGTACGATGGGTTACAACATGTTGTCTGAAGCTTTACGAAATGATGACAACAGCCAGTCTCCGCGTGTACCTGCTCCGCTTGACTGGTTAAGTTCCCTTTCTCAAGAGCACTTAGCAAGGCGCCATAGGATAATACTCCTGGTTGCTGTCCAGCCGCTGTCATCCTCTGGAATACCTCAATAGCAGCAGCAGGTTTGTGGGCTCTCCCGCACGCTATTAGCGCAGCATTCCATGCAAACGAATCAGGTTTGATCCCTTTTTCTTGCATCTTGTCTAGTAGCTGCAAAGCCCACTTCCATATCCCTCGCTTGCCAGCAGAGTTCAATAAAATTTGAAAATGTGATAAAAGCAGTCGATGCGTAGTCTCCTCTGGGGGTGGCCCCACACTCATCATGTGTTCATAAACCCCAAGAGCAGCCCACCATCTCTTTGCCTTCCCTAAAAGCCTGATGATATGATTACACAGCGAGACATTCAAGTAAAACCCTTGCTCCCGCATGTTGAAATAGAGCCATTTTGCAGGGTAGTAATCTATCACCCGCTGCCCACACGCTCGAATCAAGTTTCTACACATTTTCTCATCCAATCTTATCTCAGCTTGCCGCATTCCTGCGAAGAGCTGACCTAATTCTTTTATAGTACTTGTATCACTACTCAGCCAACTCCATATCCGCCGGTAACACAGTTGCACTACAAAAACGGCAAGCTCCTGCCTCTGCTCCTTCTCTCGTTTCAGCTTCGGACGACCATTCTCTGATCCACTTCTTTCCTGGTGAACTAAATCTCTATACAACTCCAGCACACGCTCACACTTCCCACTGCGGGCAAGGGCCTGAATCATTGTCCTGTACGTGAACAGGTCAGGAACCATTCCTGTTGTTCTAAGATCCTCATAAACTTTCAGTGCTTCATCGGGCCGCCCTTGCTGCTCATACATACTAATTACCGTGTTGCAAGTCACAATATCCGAGGAAATGCCATTTTCTCTCATTTCCTCTAAGATCATGGTCGCCATTTCGTAGCAGTGGTTCGCCTTCAAAACCCCTAATAAAGAATTGTAAGTGAACACATTTGGCCGATCTATAGTACCATCACCACCTTCTCTTCGCTGCAACCATCGTAAAAGGGCCACTGCAGCTTGTGGTTTCTTCTCCATGCCCAACTTCTGAATAACAGAAGTAAAAATTGACATCTGAAATTCTAAATTACCCACTATGACACCTACAGTTTCTTCATCCTTCACACCGCGGAGAGCCCAGGTGAGGGCCCTCACGACAGGCGTGGAATCTCTATCCGTTATTCTTCGACTACGAGTTTCATGCTGTATACGCCGCACTAAAGATTCATTATTCTTTGTACTGTTCTGATGACCAAACCTGTTCTTCTCAGCTTGCTTACAATCCCCGTCCACATAAGACAAGATGCTTCCGAGCAAGTTGGACGTGTCTGTCGACTGGGGCCGAAAGGACTCAACTACAAAACTCGGGGAGAAAGTGACAAAGAACCCACAGCTGATGTGATTCTTACACTGCACCTTCGGCCCAATTCGGCAAGAAAGCAAAGAACTGAACGCGGAAGCTGGAGCAGAGAAATGCACACAGTGGTATACGCTCGGAGCCATATCCGTTCTCAATTTCAGCTATGGCTTCCAATCATGAGAACTAACCTCTACTACGCATCATCGTTTCCTACACTGGACCCATCTCCCCGACTTCCCAATCCACCCCAAGCCTACGTCTCCAAGTGGCGAAACTTCAGCACCGTGATCCGCCACGCCATTCCTTCATTCACTCATTCTACGCAATACACCGAAAACCAACTCCGTAACGCGAAGCGCAAGCGTGCTTTTGCCGTTGTTACAACATCCGCGCTGCCTGGCTTCGTGATTGCCTTGCACGATCGTGAAATATGTCATCAAATCACGTCCTCGGGGCTCGCTCTCTCTCTCTCGCTCGCCTCGTCGATGCCGATACCGGCTCTGCTCGCCCCGCAAGGGCGAGGCCTATCCGAAAGCTTCTCCACTGAAGGGATCTCGGCCTTCAATTTTGTACTGATATCGGACGGATCAGGAGGACGCGGGATGCTGAGGTGGCATTTGGAAAGACGTCCGAGCATCCGGGGCAACAGAAACTACATGCTAGACATTCATTCATTAGACGAGAAATGTTTGCCTCGTCTATCTCCATTTGGACGGATCGTCGTGGATTATCGTCATAGCTGAAGGTTTCGTCCGTTGTTTGGAATTTGTATTACATTTTCTGAATTGGACTTATTTTGTTCAAGTACAAATATTTTTGAGTGGTGGATGGGGTAGTTTTTTATTGTATATATATAATGGTTTTGTAGAATAACATATTTTGAGAATGTATCACATTTTCATAATGCTACTCATGCAGATTGATTAAATTTGTAATACCTTCAATTTTTTGTTATTATTTAGTGATTGTGACGTAGCTGTAAAAAACGTATGTCATTTTGAATAATTGTTTGGCATAGCAACAGATTTTTTTATAAAATTTCCATATATATAAAAGTATTTTTTTCAAAAAATCTTATGCAGTATTATACACACATTAAATATTCAGTGAAATTCATTTCTTGACCCTGGAGCTGCAGATATGGGACCAACATTCGTACCACGAGTTTTACTTAAAAGTTTGTTTCCAGAAATCTCAGCCAGTTGCTCAGTTTTGTTACAACATTTAGACAACACAATAACAGACTATCTTCTTTGATGGTCCATACTTTTATCAAGTAAGTTTATTTTTGTCTTCTTTTGTAAGGAATGTCAATGACCTGAAAAATTGGTAAATGATCACCACTTTTAAATTATACAAAAAATGACTGTGTACTTAACAATTAAATTATATATATATAGGTGTGTGTGAGTGTATATATATATATATATATATATATATATATATACATACATACAAATGACTATGCAATTAAAGACACTTAACAGTAAATCACTCAATATAACCACCACTGGTTGTCAGCAATCTTCAGAACAACAAATAATTAAAACCAGTGTTGATGTTCAAGATATTACCCAAGAAAGAATCATGAAATCTATGCTGCATACTCTTCATTTGAGAATTGCAATCTGAAACGTCTGGCAGTGCATCAGCTTTAACTAGCGTGCCAAAGCTTGCAGAGCGAACTTTCTATTTTGAGAGCACCACAACGTACTTGGTTACACAATATTTGCCAAAGCCGAATGATGCCAACATTCTACATCCGGCGCCAAGGTGATGCAGATGACTGAAATCTCACCATAGAGAATTATTATGAATCGCTACATACAGTTTGCAGAAGACCTGAATAGTCTCAAGTAGTTGGCAGAGCAATAGAACTCCAATCCTCTGCAAGATGTCCACTACGCATCATCTTCCTCTGAGCAAGTGTTGAATGAAAATGGTTTGAATTTGTAACCATCTCCTTGGTAAAACTTGTTCTGAAACTCCACCCAATGAAGACGCAGAGCATGGAGGAAGGCACTCAGCGTCTCCATTAGAAGCAACACACCGAATGTTACAAACGCGAACACAATCAGACCAATAAGCCTGATCACTGGGTTTGAGTACCTGTCGTTTGCAACAAGCATATTAGTCCTTTGATACCTACGAAATCGCATAGACAAATATCTCAACTTCCAAAAAATTCGAAACGTTTTTTATATAACATTAGAATAATTTAAATTCGGACTATGACAAATTATATAAAAACTTGAGTTTCAGTTTATCCTCCAAGGTATGATAGGATCAAAGATAGCACCTCAGGGATAAACAAATAAACAAATAATAAAAATCCAATGCATGGCTGTGGAACTTACGCCCAAGCAAACATGAGGACTCGCTCATAGAACACCGCAGAAAGTTGTGCGTGTGCAAGGCTGCATACACAAAGACCAAGTGCAAAACTTCAAAATGTGAAAAACCATATCATCAGAACTTTAAAAACCGGCACCAAATAATTACTCTGCATTGACGAAAGCCATTATCACAAACATGGCAAGTACCTCAATGCCCAGAGTCGCAGATAAGAAGCAGTGTTGGACACGGCACCCAACACAAACTCAATGGTGTGAATCATTTGGTGGACGAGTACTTCACCAAACTCGAACTCTTCTTCGTCATGCTCACCGGTTCCCTCATCATCTGATGACGAGTAATCAGAGCGGCTCAAAGCAGTGTAATGTCTACCCTGCAGTTTCTGTTGATAACAACATCCACCACAATGGAGAGTATTTTAGTCCGATTCACGAACATATCTGTCTGTGACATGCTCGAGGCATGGTACACTATGTGACATTTGTAAGTTCCAAAACCTAGCGTCACATGAGGAGATGTTTCATGAGGAAAAAATTACGAGACCTGCAATTACCTACGATTTTCGCAAAAAACATTCCGAATGCTGGTTACATACCAAACACTGGATGGTTACCAGCTTTGCACCCAGGCTAGAACATGAACGCATACACGAATGCTACATAAGGAACTTCCGTGAAAGGAAACAAGGGAGGAAGAATTTGCACCTGCATATGCTGCCTTCGCAACAGCAAAGGCTTTGGGAACAGCATCCAGGGAACAGCAACTAACGCAATAATCAATAGAACAATCTGTAGCAAGGGCAATGATGATCAATACAACATATAGGAGAAATGGAGAGAGCAACATGGCCTTCATATCTGCACCAGGAAGCGGAATATCGTTCCCAGTGTAATCAATGGAACCTAATTGCAAGTTGTGATCATAAACCCAATATAAAACACTAAAAGATAAAATTTCATACCTGAACATAACTTTGGCCAGAGAAGAGCTGGTTATCTTCAAGATCACCAGTAGGACTTAGAAACATGTAAATCATGACATGGTAAAGGTCGGGCTTGCTGCCTTGGCACCATTTCAGAACGATCAGAAATGATAAATACCCAAAGAGGGCGTTGAGGAACAACAGCTGCGGAATAAACTGATACCTGAGTTCGTTTCATCAAACATAAACTTCTGTTAGGATCTGAGCGCTACGATACAAAAGCACAGCTATTATTTGAAGACAGTTAGACAAAATCAGAAGCAAACAAATATCTGAAAGATGCTAGATAAACTAACCAAACATCAAGAGCGCTTCGAAAGTATCTAGCGTTGAAGTAGCTCAATAGAATGCCCAGATTCATCTGAGAAATCCCCAACAGAATTGACATCTTCATCTTTAATGAGTTGGTAAATGGGAGCTCTGATCGGGATCCATGCCAAACAGGATCTACCCCAAATGCATAAGGCTCGTACGACCATTTCTCCAGTCCAGAAGTAGACGCCACTCTACAACAAAATAGAACCGAAAAACCTCAGTACACGTAATCATAGGTCACAGGTATTCATAAGAACATTATGTAAATTGCAAGCAGAAAAGTACTCAAATAAGAGTGTGCAAATATTCGTCCCTTGTACACGTGTCTAACTTATCTCAAAGAACTTGAACCGCGAAAAAGAGCTCAATGATAAGGGGGAAGCTTACGGGCAATTCTCAACAGAGTATTGTGGGTCAGGACACCTATAAGCCGTTCCCCCAAAAATACCGAACGGAACTGAAAAGAACTCATTGTATATGAAACCAGTGTAGATGGAGAAAATAGCCATCAAAAGAATTACATAACGACCTCCATAAGCCATCTCCATAATATCACCGAGTTTCTGCAACAATGTCACAATATTAGTTTAACCATACGACTTGAAACGAATCTCCAGTTCCGGCGATAGTTTTGAACTACAGTGCTCATGCTGTAAGCGCACACAAACTTCTACAAAACCACAAGAATCAACTGTTCAAAAGACTCTTCCATGCTCCAGAAATGTACCTGTTTTCCAAGTTTTTTCTCATTCAACACTAAATAAAGCGCCCCCAAAAGTAGGCAAATACCGTGCCCCCAATCACCAAACATAACAGCGAACAGGAAGGGGAACGTTACGATAGTAAAACATCCAGGATTTGCCTCCTGATACCGCCCCACACTGCGCATTTTCAACAACCCCTTGTCAATTGTGCATAGGAGAACGAAAAGCACACGGTACAAAGATTCCTTATCCGCTTGGAATAGACATCATATAGAATTCAGTTTCTAGATGCCAAAGTTACATAGGTGTATGGACACTGACCCATAAGCTTCCACGATTTCTTGGAATGCATTAGTGAACTTGTTTGTTTCAAAATAACTAGGTGGAGACTCCTTGGTATGAAGAACTTGGAAAATTGTATTGACCTGAGAATTACTGTCGTGTGCTGCTCTTTGGAGAGCATCTTGAATCTGTAATAAAAAAAAAAAAACATGGATAAACTAACCAATAAAAGTACATGCAAACTGCATCGAAATAACACACAATTGCCGACAGAATACTACGCAGCGCTCGTGATCCAAATCAATATTCGTACACCAAGTAAAGATGATTTCACCTTGGGCTTTGCAAAGACAGGGCACCACCCTTCAGCAACGAGGCACTTGCGCGTGACATCAATACTCAACATATTGAGGGTGTGATACACTGCCTTCTCTCGTCTCACCTGTACACAAAAAATGGTTATTTAGCATAAACCAGAAAGTGGGACTAATGTAGAATACACCCTCAGCAGATACTTGTCTATGAAGTTTTGCCGCAACACCTAACAACCCTACAGCATACTGCTGCAAGACTGTAAACGAAATCAACCCTCCGACTCACCATCACAGTCCAATGATCCAAGTTGGATCCAATATTGTTAATAACGTTATCCTTCAGGTGAGTACCAGCATCTAGCGTGTTCTGTAACTCGCTCAGCCTTGTTTCAACCTGTGAAAGTGCAAATCACAACATGAGGAAAGAATTCGAACGAGAACAAGCATGAGCTGTAACATCATCAACCCGAAATCTAGATTTGAGCTTCAGTACGCCTACACAATACATCTGGGACAAAATGTACATCACAAATTAGCTTACATTTCCATTCTAAGTAGTAGCTTTTGCGTTCACTAAAAAAGAAAATTCCGAAGAAACCTTTACACAGATAAATAAAAAGGCACAATTTAGAAGCTTGTAGACTTGGTACCTCAGACTTCATCTGCCACTGCCTGTTGGGGTCCTCAGGAAAAGGATAGCGATTAGCCCCAAAAGCCTCACAGATTTTGATAACCTTGGTTTTCGCACGCTCTCCAGCAAAGAAAACTACAAACACTGTTTTCTCTACCTGTATTTGGTCCATTATATACGTCAGATAGAAAGGACATTACCCCTAACATTAACGCAAGGACCGACAACGTAAATAATAATAAAATTATAATTATAATTATAAGTAGCTATTGGAAAATAAAAATAAAACATAGAATATACTAAGATCATTTCGTAGAAATTAGAGGTTGTACAGTAATATGATTTACATTACCCACCATAGGTGATAGCGAGCGAGAGCACTAACCTTTTCACCAGTGGCAGGGTCTGTAACAGCATCTTGGATTAGAGCCTGTTTAAGAAACATGTTGCCTCGAGTGGCTCGAAAAAGAATGCGCTCGAAAGACGCTGCTTTAGCCTTGGGAACAACACCTGAGATAAAGCCCAATCTGACTGATTTCGAGGTCTCGGTCTGCAAGTTTCGTAAGAAACGATCACTCCCCTTAGATATGGGGGGGGGGATGGAGGAGCAATAACATGCACACAGGTTTACCAAAAAAAAACACATCGCCCACGCCGACACGAGGATGCATGCAACTGGTGAAAGAAGCACAATTCACCTGTTCCTGTAGAAGTGGGCGCTCAATGCCATCTTCAACGGAAGATCCTTTGTCTTCAGCACTTCGTTGTTGCACATTCTTTGCTGAATTCTTTGCTGAACTGAAGAACTCACTTGCCTGTCCAAAACCGGAGATGTGACAAGTTTGGCTTCCATAGATGAGACCATCTAAGTCTAATAGCAAACAGGAGATGTGAATGTTCTCAACAAGGCCAAGGCGACTTGCATCTCCACGAATACCAGCGAAATGTACTCTATATAATGCTACGCCGGAACATTGTGATATGTTTTGAATATATTACATATTATATGTTTATATTGTATTATACTATATCAGATCAAATCATATTTATTTATATTACGAATTTTACATATTCAAATTCAAAAACAAAACCACGGTACTTCATCATTCCATATAATCAATTAACAATACAGTATATCTTTTGATTCAAATACAAACACAGCTTAAAAGTCTTGATGTTCAGATTAGTTACCTTGTGTAGTACTAACTGGAGTTCCACAAGTTCACTATGACTGCGTTGAAGTTTATCCGAATTTGCATTGATTTCTAACAACTCGGCTTCAAGTTCCGTCAGTTTCGTTTCCAGTTCATCTAAGTCGATACTCCTGTCTGATGTAGCCGTGAAAGTGGCTGTTCGACCAGCTTTCGTGATTTGGTCGTGAAAGTAACGTAGCTTCCTGGCCATTTCTCCACATCTCTTAACCTGATACGACACAATTCGAGATTATAAGATAATACTCACTACATGACAAAGGATCCAATGAATAGCCCAAAAATAATAGGTTCGCAATCAACAGAAACGAGTGCATTCCTAGATAACAAACTTTCAAAACTGGTGAGATTGATCACCTGGTTGGCATAAGTTCGCTGAAATGGACTTTTATCTGGATTTAACTGCCAGTAGCAAAATCAGGTATTTGTAAGAAAATTGAAAGAAAAACTTTCCCGTGAGATAGCAGAAGATACACACTCGAACTTTGTAACTTTATCACCACAGAAATAGAATTCGAGCTTCACTTGGCGTCCCCTCAATGCACAATTTCCTGAGAAACTAGTTTACTCAGCTCCGTGAACAGAACTTAAATAACAAAGTGCCGAATCTTCAAAATTTCGCACTGCCCTAATGTCTTTCTAAAATGCAATTCATACACAAAACCCGTATACAACAACTTAAATGTTGCTTACAGTAGCAGTTGTGATGTGTAAGAGGTTTAAAAAAAAAGGAATTTACGGAAACAAAAGACACACCCCATGTTTTCCATAAATAAGTATAACTCGGCTCTATTTCAGGAATAATCTTCAAGATTGGCAGACCTAACCACAATTCATGCTCTAATTTCCAGCTCGTACTACACAGAAGCTGCCACAGAGAAAGAAAAATGCAAAAATAAACACCGTCGTTGAAATCACAAATTGACATTTTGATTGCATCGAAAACCCTAGTCGAAATATTACATGCATCGCATGTACAACCGAGCATGATCGAGTACCTTGTCAACACAATCAAGGCGAAGAACCTTCAAGGAAGAAAAGATGGTTAACTATCCCATCCTCGAGACATTCCGAATTCGCAATCCTCTACGATCTCTTAATTCTAGACTCGATTACTAATCATAGATAAAGGAACTTCATCTTTCTGTCCAAACTAATTCGTGGTATCACAACATCCGATCCAATCATCGAGATCGCACATTTCGATAGAGACAACAATGCCAAGTTGTCAAGTTTCAAAGTGACGTCCCATTCATCTAACACACCGCGTGTTATATAAATCTATTTTAAAAAAATGTGGGCTGTCTCCCAACTTCTAGTTACGAATCCTCTTTCTACGGTAACTCACGCATGAACCTAGTCCCAAAACAACAACCACCAATGACAGTGACCTACTCCCACTTCCGAAGCGTTAATCGAAAAGCACAGGAATCATTGCACAAATATGCTAGAGGCATACTGGAAGTGGACAAATTCTTACATCTTTAAACTGGATCAGTCCGAGTTCCGCCAAGTAAGTGACGGTGTCGTGAGCCGACTCCGCGGGGATGATGAGCTGCACGAGGGACATCTCTTCGGACCGGAACAGGTCCATGGCGACCATCTTCACTACAATTCCAATCCAAAACCGCCACAACAATCCTCCTCCGTCCCAGAATCCAAACCGCTTCGACAAAAATCGATAAAACAAAGAACAAAGCCCTTTCGCTCAAAACCAATCACTGAACTTGTGCTACAAAGTTCTGCAAGCTGCTGACAGGCAAGGGGATTCGAGTAACGAGAAGAATTGATGTCGAATCCCAGGAACACTCCTGCGACTCATCAAGCTTCCCGAGATATGGGAAAATAGGGGAAAAAATGAGAAAAGTGGGAGGTGGGTCGGGTGAGCGATTAGAATATCCTCACCCGAAGAGAGCAGCGATGATGCGGAGTGAAGAATGGCTTGAAGAGAAGGCTAAGAAGGATAGAATCTATGGAACCAGGCCCTAATAAACAACACATACAACGCCCCTCATTTCCCCTTTCAAAGACCCCCTTCTTCTGCTTTGCATTGCTTCGCTTCGCTTGCTTGCTGTTGCCACGCGGTGCGGCAATAGCCACGGCCACAGCCACGGCCACACCCCCACGGCCTCGGCTGTCGATCCTCTGTTACCCATAGCTGCGCCACGGGTTTGGGTTCACGGTCTGCGGCGACCGCCACAAGTCTGGCGCATTTCTTTCTTTTCTCTGGGCTGCCCGAGGAGTGTTACTTTGGGTAAAAAATGTGTTACATAATAATATTTATTTTAAAAAAATATTTACCATTGTAAGAATTTAGTAACAACTATCTTTAAATCTATAAAATATGCTAAAACGGTGAATAATTTTTTAACAATAAATATTATTATGTAACACATACTTTATAAATTTATACAGATGCATGTTCACAATCTCTACGTAATCTACATGAGTTTTCTGATAGTGACGAAAGCTCTAATTTTATAAAACGCCGATAAACACTTGCAAATACTTCACCAAATAATGATTTCTATTGACACATGGCATCTACATTTGAAAGTTTTATATTGACAATCACACCACACACCAAAAAGATATTATCCTATTTTTTGTTAATGTTCCCACGATCAATTCTAGAAATGAAACCAACCAAACAACAAAAAAGTTAATATGGCCATTTTAATATAATTATCCATTCACATTTCTCTATCTACAAACATGAAATCACATTCTTTTAGACTAAATTCGAACACAAGTAATGTGTATTATTTACTCTATCAAGTGTTACAAGGAAGTTATTTTAATGTAGACGCAATCTTCAAACAAGTAACCCATGAAGCAATTTTTGTATTAATAGCTTACTATTTCGAATGATATTTGAAGTTGCCACAAATATTAACCCTCCTTGGATAGCGGAGGAGCTTCTTAAGGGAACGTTGCAATGGAGACAGCTCATTGGACCCATCACCGAGTTTTTTTTCATCCCAGGATGAAAGTGGGAGCCCTGTTACCAAAATGGATGATAATCCGCCCCAGACAGGGTCCCTCGTCGAAGACGTCAAGAGCCGCTGAAAGACGCCGCCGCTGCCGCCGATGTTGCGGCGAGTGGCGGTAGAAGTCAAGTTGCTTGGAGACGCCTCGGGGGACTTCGGCGGCGGAGTTTCTCAATCCTTCGCTTCGACATTCGATTCATTCACTGCAGGATTTTTCGTTGGGCGATTTCTCCAGCTTCTTTCTCGTGAGCTGAATCTAGACTCCTATCTTTTGTTTGTGTAACGAATTTTCAATTGTTGAGGTGCGTTTTCTTTTTTTTTTTTCTTTTTTTTTTTTTCCTCCTCTTCCAGTTCACTCATGTGTTTTGGTTTTCGAGGTTGATTTTAGGAGGTGGAAGTTGTGGAGGCTTGATTTTAGAGGCGAGGGCAATGAAAAGGGAGTGAGTACTGGGCACGTGATTTTTCTCTGATTTGTTGGGCCACGCCATGGTTGATGGATTTGGGTACTAATTGGGCTCAAGAAAGTTGAGGTACCATTCCATGAATGATCTCTTGATGAGTTTGGACTTGACGATCGTAGACTTACTCCTCCAGTAGTGAGACAGATGAGGAGCTTCGGAGTGTAGATTTGTCATAGTGTGTTGCAGTGGCGGATTGATTTTCAATTGCTTAGTTTAGTGACACTTTGCGCTCAGCATATTCAAAAAAGAGTAAATCTCGATGCAGGATAGAAAGAAAATGTGCACGTAAATCCGTGCTTTTGAAGCAACTGTAATACCGAAGTTGCGATGGAAAGTAGGGTTTTATTGTACTGTAGATTCTTTTAGTGGTGACTGTGTAGTGGCATTCTCAGTAGTATTACAAAGACTTTCCCTGTTGATCTGCTCATGAAGCTAGAAGTCTTGTGACGTTCACAGAGCTCGGAAACAGTATTTCTTTCTACAGAAAGACCACGTTGGTCAGCATGTTCTGGATCGTTTCATTGCTTCTGTGATTCCTCTGTCTTCGTTCTCTCTCAGGGAACTGAGGGTAATCTAGGTCTTAGGGTTTGTATTAACTGAGACTAATGTTGAATCCAATTTCTATTTAAATGCCTAGGTTTCTAAATTTTGTGTTTCATACATGGGAATTCATGGTAGAAACTGAAGCTGTTAGACCGTGCACAGCTGTTAGGGTTTCCTGTTGTGTTGGCAATTTTTTTTGATATTGATCAGTAATCGGGATGGCTTGTACTTTACTCAGGGAAGTAACAAACGAAGGCAAACCTATTTAAAATAATGGCCCCTGACAAGTCAGCACCCAAGGACACAGCTTCGGCACTTTCTGGTACATCTTTTGGACATTAATTCGTCCTGAAATTCTGTTGTTTTTCATATATTTTACATGTTGCGTTTCTCTTCCGCGTACAATCCTCGTCCCACCCCGTCCCTCCATCACCCAGCTTCATACTCCTTCAATTTAAGAGGCAACTACACTAGATCTCTGACGAGTAATGCACCATCGGATTTGCTTCGTTAACTGACATCCTTTATCTCTTAGTTTCTCAAGTTAAGTCCTTTGGCTGTTAATTAGAGTGAGCCTCTGTAGTCTCCTTTCAGCACCTCAGACCTCGCCCTATCTATTGAGAACTGTTGATGGAGTTGGTTCAGTTTTACAGACGGGTTTGCAATGCTGGTTCATTCTTGCCTGATCTATTTCGTATCGTGCCATAAGTTCAGCTTGTCTTGGGAAATTTTGCCGTTGTTGAAACTGGCAGAAGTGTAATTGTGTTGTTTTACAGCTCGTGAGAGTGTATCCAAGCTTCTAAGTGCAGCACGTGATGGCAATGTTCTAGCATTCAAAGGTATGTCCTAACACGAGTGAAGTTAGAGCGTTCATATTTATTCTTTTTGCGGCTTCCTTTCTGCAAATTCCTCTTGTAGTTTACTTCGCCTTTAAAGTCCTTGCTTGCGAAATGAACCGTCCATAAAATAGCCAAGTCATTTGCTAGTGAGTCTGAAATCGGATGACTTTTAGCTTTCGAAATAGTTATGAAACCCTATACTTTACAGATGTGGCCCGAGCTTTGGATGATGGGAATGGATTAGGCCAAGCGTTGGCTGCTGTGAAGGATGGAAATGGACGTGGCCCTTTGCACTTCGCTGCCCGTGGTGGATGTGATGAGCTTTGCCAGTACATGGTGGATGAGCTCAAGCTTTCCATAGACGCTAGAGATAACGATGGTACCTTTTTGTTGGTCTTGGTTCCAGCATTTGCTATCCTTTTTGGTGACTTCTGTGTAATTGCAGAGCAGTACTTGACAACGGTCGTCCATTTAATATTCTCAAATGTGAGTCTTTGAGGGCATAGAATTACTACGAAAGGTTCTTTCTCCATTTTTGCGCCTTACACTTGTGCCGAATCATTCACAGTATGAAAAAATCTACCCACATTAGTGACCAAGTTTAATATTGGTTATGATATGGTGACTCAGGCTTCTTCTTCTTCATTTTGATTTTGCAGTCCTGATTACAACTTCCAGTGAATGAGGTGGCAGAAAATGTGATTTAGGATTAGTTCAACCTCAATCATACATTTGATACCATATTATGTTCAACTAGGTGTGATACGATTTTGTCTGACCTGCTCAAATGTATCGCACAAAAGGAACGTGGTTATGAGTGCACAGATATGTCACGACTATGAGAGTATCTGACATCGCATAGTGAATTTTGAATTCTGATGCAGGCGATACTCCTCTTATACACGCAGCCAGGCAGGGTCACACCTCAACTGCTTTGTATTTGCTTGAACATGGCGCAGACGCTCGTGCCACGCCCAGTGAGAATCAGCCAAGTGCACTCCATCATGCTGCCGGAACAGGTCTAATTTTGCCCTTTCAGGATGTTCTGCAGTAAAAAAAACAGTATGATTGTGATCTTTTAGGTCCCTAATGTCTGCCATGAACGTTGCAATTTCTCAGTTTTAGATTTTTCTCATGTATCATTTTTCTGGTTCATTTGAATTTTTTTAAGTATAACTCTTTTGAGCGTTTTGCAATGTTTTGTAGGCTCTTTGGAACTTATTAAGGCCCTGGTCGCAAAAGGAGTGGATGTGGATTCCCCAAGTGACGCCGGTTCTCCCCTCATCTGGGCCGTAGGCCATGATCATCCCAAAGCAGTCAAACTCCTTCTTGACAGTGGTGCTAATGTAAAGCCCTTGAGACCTTCTGGTGATGATCCAATTATGAACTCCTAATAGAGATCTTGACAGTTCTAGCTTTACTCTTCGTTAAGTTGTCGAGCTTGATTCCTGAGCCTGGTTTGATAGTTGCTTCAAATCGTGCAAAACCTCACCGGATACGATATTTTAGTTTTGCTGCTTTTTATGCTATTCTGTTGATATTGCAAGGTTAATTCCTTTATTTGTCACAGCGGTCACTCGTTTTGATGACGATAATCTTGTTCAATCTACCCTATTGCTACTGACATTTTGTTCCATTTTGAAGCCTAACGGTGCTACAGATGATGATGTGACCGCTCTGGTCACGGCAGCTGCAGCGGGAAGTTCTGAGAGTGTCGAGCTCTTGATAAAGGTATTTGGCTTCATTCGCTTTATAAGTCTATACTTTGCTTTGCAGCAGTGGTAAAATATTACCTTTTTGATACTGTGAGCACGGAACATTTATTTTCATTTTCGGAATACTCAAAATATCTATTCTCTGCAGAAAGGAGCAGATGTTAATGCAAGCGCTATGGGAGGAGTTACCCCACTTCATATTGCTGCAGACCGCGGCGATGAGCGGATGGTGGACTGTCTTCTAGCTGCTGGAGCGAATCCTGATGCTGTTGATGACGTGTGTAACATTCATTCATTATTTATACATTTATTACCATAAACATGTGTGTCATCCAATATTTTCCCTGTGTATTGCCCTTGTCCTTAATTACCTGATTAGCCTGGTGAATTTCAATTCTATGAACTAGCGGTGTGTATTTGATTTCCTTGACTTGTCTGCAAAGCTCAACGGTTGCGTACTGAATGGAATGAGGAAATTCCTGATGCAGGATAAGGCAAAGCCTATACATGCTGCCAAAGAGTCCCGAGCTATAGTGGAGAAATTATTGCCTGTTACAACGACCGACCCCGCCATTACGGATTGGACTGTTGACGGAGTCCTGTCTCATGCACGAAAACTAGCTGCTGATGAAGAGGTACTGCACTACCTCGGAGAAGTATATCTCTTTTCAGTTCTTAAAAATTCTACAGTGAAGCTGCAGTACAAGCAATAGAAACACACATATACACGAATATATACCAAATTTATAATCTTTAAGTACAACATTGCTTTTATGCTTGGTTGAGCTTGGTGTAATAGGTGATTTCTCTTTACAGGCTGAATTTCGGAAATCAAGAGAGGCTGATGAAAAAGCCAAAGCCGCTCAGGCCAATGCACGTAAGAAACCTGAGGTAAGATTTTGACTATAGTTGCAAATGTATGAAGTACGTTGCACTCAATTCTTAGATTTCTTGTTCTTTTATTTGTGTAAGACTTTATGCCGTCATCAGAATCTTTTCGGAGTTGTACTTCATGCTGCTGTTCCTTAATTGTGGTTTTTCCAAAAATATTTTGTTTTATATTATTTTGTTTTTGTTTTTGAAATGCCAAGCCACAATTATATGCCATCATCCCAATTGCCAATGTTTCCGTTAGTCGCTTTTTGTATGCTATTGACTTGATTTTTTTTTAATTGAGTGTGTTAATTTTGCGTAGGTCTCAACTGAGATGAAGAAGAAGGCTGCAGAAGCAAAAGCCCGAGGGGATGAAGCTTTCAAGAAGCAGGATTTTATGCTTGCCGTAGATGCATACACCCAGGTCCATTTCACCGCTGCCCATGCTTTTTATTCGTATTTGCTTTTGCATGACGACGTATTCTTGATTCGCTCTGGAGAGACGTTGATGCTGAAAGACTATTGTGATAAGCCTAATTTTTTATTGGACAGTGGTATTCTTGGTGTAATGGAAAAAGTTTGTTATGTGACGCAGGCAAGTGACTTCGATCCAACAAATGCAGTGTTTTTGTCGAATCGTAGCGTATGTTGGATGCGTTTGGGTCAGCCCGAACAGGCCTTAGCCGATGCCAAAGAAGCTAGAGCTTTGAACCCAGAGTGGTCCAAACCGTGTTACCGTGAAGGATCTGCGTTGCTACTACTTCAGGTTCTCCTTGTCAATCCTTTGCTTGTTTTGTTCTTTGCAGCGCAGTTTCCAGTTTTTCTTACAAAAAGCATTTGTGCTTTAAAAAAAGTCTATTTCACCTGCGTTGTTTTGGTGCAATGATATCCCACAATAGTTCTTTTGACATATTTGATGCTGTGATAATTATCTAACATATCAGCACATCGTCACGGTCATATATGATAGATTTTACGTTTTTAACTTTTTTGCTTCTTATGCTGTGATAGTGATAGACACTGTGGCATGATATGTTTTGATGCAGAGGTTTGACGAGGCTGCAGATGCCTTCTACTGTGGTGTAAAACTTGATCCCAATAATAAGGAGATGATTGAATCTTTCAAGTAAGTTCCTGGATTGTGCCTCTTCTTATTTGTCGATTGAACATGAAGTTTAGTTCTTCTTTTTTCTGTTACATGTAAATGACGTTTATCTTCGCAAGGTTCTTTTACGAGGGTTACCAGATCTTCAGTATACATCATCTTTGTGCTGATGAATGGATTCCACCTGTTAATATGTTACTTGCAGGGGTGCCGTGGAAGCTGGTAAAAAGTTTCATGGGACAGCGTAAACGGACTGGATCGTTATTCGTTCACAATTTCAAAGTTTTGACTGATAAGCTGAGAAATGGCTTCATGAGTTCCTGTTGTGGAAACCTCGTGATCAGCTGTCTACTGCCAACTGTAGCAGCATATGAACTTGTGGGATACTTGCATGCGGGTTGAATTTTTTAGAGATTTGTCCGGGGGTTAATTTTTGATGTAATGTCTGTGAACAAAAATCCAATACAAAATTGAGCGTTGTGTGCCTCTTGTCGTCTGCTTTATGTAATAGCTAGACAGGTCTTGTGTGCATGAAAAGAATTTTCTTTGCACCGCAAAAGTTACTGGAAGCCGATGTGCACTCTATCAAGACAATAAGCTAGTTTCACTTGTGCATGGTGTGTTTTTGGATTCATGGACAATCGTGATAATTTTACAACTGGACATTTCTCAACTTGCACCCATGCAGTTTGCTGTGCGTAGTATGTTTCAGGAGCCATTGATGGTTTTCCAGGTTTTTGGCTGTCATAGGAGACTTTGGAGTCTTAAAGAACTTCATAGTGAACTTCACCTAATGCCAATATTTCAACTTCATCATGCTAATATTCCTAATTCTTCTCGAAGATGAAATTCACCAGCTTCTCTTTTGTAACAACTGAAGCCCAGTAAAATGAGGCTTATACCAGTACATATATATATATATATATATGATTTCAAGAAAAGAGAAAAAAGAAAGAAAGGTTATATCTACCCATCTCTGTTACACTTTTGTTATGTATTTTTAAACAATGAACATGATCCAACGAGTTGTTGTATATTAAAATTTTGGAAAAAAATCTTTATTAAGGTTAATTCACTTTCATTTAAGATCTTTCTAAGAAACTCTGACTAATTGATTATATATATATATATATCTATGACTTTTCTTAAATACAGCTTATAAAAAAAACAATTGTCATATCTGCTTTCAATCTTTTTCTCATGTCATAACATAACCATTCAATTTTTTGTAAGGTTCTTACTACATCAACAAATAATATTTTTACTCACATAGTGTTAAACTTACTCATTTCAATATTTCTATTTGCATTATTTTAAATTTTCATGTATTGATTTATTATATAAGTTAATTCTGATAACCAATCAATCAAAACTTATTTCTTCATATCTTCAAATTTAGCTGTTAATGAATTACAAATCATGACAATTTGCCCTCCTTTAACAAAAATATAATTTCTTTGTATTCAATTAAATACCTGTACTGAGATCCTCTAAAATGAAATCATACTTGACAACCAGATCCTGACCTCCACACATTTAATATACTAATCTCAAAATGGCTTCAAACATTGCAGAAAGCATTCATAGACAGTACTAAAGTACCAGTAATTTTGCAAATCTAGCACCAAATGCAGTTGAATATTAGGATTGCTAACAAGAGGTTTATAGTAGGACTTGACATTAAACCAACTAGCACTTTCTGAATACAAATTACATATATTATTCTATAACGTTTACTATGATCTGGCTCTTCATCGCATGCACCCAGTTTAGGAATATTATAACATGAGGGTTTAAGTTGAGATAAATCCACAACTTAACCACTGCACACATGATCTCAAAGAAGAATGAAAACAAACTTTTCTACATACATCCATTTGAAATTTTGTTTTTCATAAGTTAATGATGTAAATTGGTTGGCAAATCTTTGACAACTTAGTTTTTATTTTTATTTTTTATCTCTTGTCAAATGTAGTATTGATGTACATTTCATAATTTTAAAATTCTCATTTTAAACATACTCCATAGAGGTTTTAAAATATACATATATATATATATATATATATATCTTATGATATTATTTGGAAGTACGTACAAACCATCAACATAAATTAAAATCATGACTTTGTTTACATATCTAATCTAAATATTCTGATTGTAACTTGATTATTTACAAATTTCATAAAATTCAAAACTTTAGATATATGTAATTTGTAGATTGAAATATAAATATTTGTTTCTTAAGTCGCTATTAAATTTAGCTCTTAAATTATGTATTACAATTAAAGCAAGAAAAACTCTTGTGAATTTGAACTTGATTAGATAAATATAGATATTATAAAAATAAATATTAGTAAGTTAAAAAAAAATTCTATTGTAAATATATCTTTGTGATGTATGATCTTAACTTTTATATTTTTTAAAGTAATAAAAATGATTTCTAAGATCTAATTTGAGGTTTATTAAAACAATACACATTTTTTGGTTAATAAAATTTGATTAATATTTAGCATTGTTACAATTCGATTTTTATAATCATATGTTACATCTTTTGATATGCCAAAAAAAAAATACTATAGTTAATTTTAAGCACACAATATCTACACTTAGAAGAAAAGATTTGAAGGCTCTTCAAATCTTAAGAGCCTTCAAATCTTGAATTTTACAACTTTCTTTGCATCTTCTATTAATAATTCATGTTTTCTTAATAGTATTTATGCTTGATAAAAAAATTCATATGTATGATTGATGGCTTTTATTCTATTTCTTGTTTGATAAAAGAAAATTAAAAATATATAAGAACTAGTAATAATAAGAATAAATAGTTACATAAGAATAAAATTAATTATGTAACTTTAATGTTTATACTTATTATAGTTTTATATAAACTATAAGATAAATATCTAATTTTTACATATAATTTAATAACGAATTGTGTCAATTGAATATGATTTAAATAATTAAAATAATCGTCATTAAATTATATGTAAAAATTAGATATTTTATTTTATAGTTCAATCTGATTAAACTAAGTCTCTAACATGTCTCTCTTAAAGCTATTCTACTTGACAAACTTGTAAGATGTACTATTTTTTAAAAATACTATTTGATGGTATTTTTAATGCATATATTCTCAAATAGTGTTTTTAAAAATTGTAATTCATTCTATTCATGTTTGATATTACAAATGCAAGAAGGATTCAAAACATGGATAGAATGAATTATAATTTCGAAATTATAATCATAATTTTAGATGCCAATTAAAAGCTTATTAAAGTATGATAAAAATAAAATAAAGGAAAATCTTCCATACATAATAAAAAAAATTACTTTAAAATGATTGACATGGAAATAAATCAATGACTCTTGAATCTAATGAAGTAGTATTTATATTGATAATATAGATAACATTTTATAAAATAAGCAAAGAAATAGAGTATATTATCTAATAAGATTGAATAAACTTTATTCTTATTTATAAAATATTAATAATGGTAGGTTTTTTTAAAAGATGATTAATAAGAATATAACTATATTGGCTAATTATTTTTATCCAATTAATTCTATTAAATAAATCCTTTTACAAATTAGAAGCTTGACTTTAAACTCTAAAAAGTCTGAAGATCCAAAAAAATGAAATTTATTTTATAAGAAATATAGTATAAACATATTTTAAAATATTATCCAGAAAAAAAAATCAAAGAATAAGCAAGAGTTGCTAAAGAAAAATTAATGAAATAGAAAATCTTAGAAATCATCTAAATAAGACCTAAGGTAAGTAAACCTAATATATAATTCTAAAAATATCTCAAAAGAAAAAATATATTAGAAATTAGAAAAAATACTATAAATAAAAGTAATTATAAAAAAAATAAAATTAATTTAATAACACAAAATATCTTTATGTGATATTTTATGATTGTGAAAAAATACTTAAAAAAGAAAAATACTAGATAGTAATAATGAGAAAAAATAACTTAAAAAGTAGAAAACAAATTATAATTTTGAAAAAAACCAAAATATCAATAGTAATTAAAAGTAATTATTAAGTATAATATCTTGTTTAAAAAGAAAAACATAATTTTAAAACTCTCAAAGATTCAACCATATTATCAAATTCTACAAAGAAAATCAAAAGATAAAATCTCTATTGGAGATTCCATAACATACAAAGTATTCTAAACAATAGTTAAGGACCTAGCTAAAGACAAGGCAATATGGTATAATGATATAAGTTGATAATTTTTTAAGCTTATTTTTAGTTCTCTATTTCTTAAAAAAATTTAAAAACTATAACTATATATCGTACTATATTCATCCTAAAACCAACAAAAAAAAAGTCTTAAAAAAAATTATAATTTTTTCTTTGTTTTTTGTATGTTACATAATAAATATTTTCTGGAGTATGAAAAATATGAATTCTATTCTATTTATAAAGCATGATTAATCAAGATTATATTTATTTATTTATTTTTATTACATAAAATATAATATTTTTTATGTAGTGGTTTACTAAAATAATTCACCTAAATTAGGCCATCTAATCTTTATATAGGACATTATAAAGACTTATAATTGTGTAAGGTATAATTGTTTTTTAAAGCTAAAATCATAGAAACCTTAGGATTTGGTCTCTAATATATTGATATAAATGATCTTTTAAAATTTTGTTTTTTACAAATTCTTTCTTTTTTTAAAAAATTTATTTTAAAAAATAAAAATAGCTTAAAATATCTTTATTCTAAGAAAAATTCAAAATTAATTAACATCTAAATTACAATAAATTTAAAACAAAAATAATAAAAATATAATAACAGTAAATATAATAGAAATCATTTCAATACTTAATTTTAGCTTAGACTTAGCATCGATTGGCAAAAATTAATTGACCATACATGATAGAAAAGGACATTAAGTATACCTTGTTATTGTGTCACAACAAAAAAGGTAAAACAAAGAGTTTATTTTAAGGTTACAATAAGGATTAAAATAATGATATTTTATACACTTCAATTTTATTAGAAATATTATTGTTGTAAAATAAATTATTCAAGTATCAATTATATAATCTCTTATAATTTGCAATAAATATATCAAGGCTATAAGAACAATCCAAATTTTAGCCTAACAACATTTTAACAAAACCAAGATTTGTAGACATGCAAAGAAATTATACTAATACAAGATTTTCTCGAAAAATAGTAAGTGAATGCACTTCTTTTTATGAATTCCTAAATTATTTAATGAAATAGATATAAATTAAATCAGGTAAAAATAAACAAGATAAGTAATACCTTCCTACAAAATATTATCTAAACTTTCTAAATACAAATTGGATTAACATGTGTCTTTGCATATACCATGTGGATGTACCAAATTCTTATAGTAATATTTTGTATCTAAGAAGCTACTATGGATGTATCTTACAATGTAGATATTTAAATTTCAAGCTCTCATAATCATTACAAACCATTTGAATATCTTTTTTTTATTAGGTAATA